TCCATAAAGTTCAAGCCCATACTGACAACAATTTGAACAATCTCACTGACTCTCTGGCTAAACAACACAATCTCTCTCCTAATTTATACTTTAACTATACTAATATTTACAACCCATATCATATGCTATACTGGAACCAGCACTTTATAGAATACTCTACAAGAACATTTACCAAAAATATTTGCAAAGCCTATATTTTGGCAATGTGATCATCTCAAAAATGAAACCAAAAATAGAACCAACTTATTTTCAAAATAGATTGGAGATCCACTTGACTATACTTTAACCATAACCAAAAACCAACACATAATATAACTAACTTTAAACTTAACTAGTCTAAATCCTTTAAAATCAAAATTCTATTAAATGAATTATACACACACTCCCTATGTCATAAAATATACCCACATACTTTCTATAATACAAACTGTTTCCATTGCAACTTACCTAACTCTTCAACACATTGGTGGACATGTTCTAATCCAACACTACTCACTAGTATTATTCAAGATACTATCTCTAAACATATTAGTCAAAGCAACCTCGATCTCTCTAAACTTCAGCAAGAAGAACTTATTTAAAAAATTCAAAATCATGAAACTTTTTACCAAATACTATTCAATGATAACTCATTCTATTTTGATATTATTCTTAAGGGACTTATATCTAAATCTTTAATCCAAACAATTCAAAATCTCAACATTCCTTACAAACAAGCATCACAAACAATTATTAAAATACTACTTAAAATCAATGAGCTATGCTATGAACTACTTTGGAAACCATATTGCATAAATTTTGTAAACTGGAAAAAACAACAAGGCTTTAAACCTCTCTTTTCTAAACACCTAACTCAAACTAACTATAACAGACAAACTAAATACAACTGCCAAACACATACATACTCATGTATATGTGGACTATCTGACCAAGGACACTCAAACTTCAATACATACCCACCCTAGGTTATGCTATTAGAAAAATCAATATATGGACTATTCTCTGGATCAAATACAATATTTCATTTAACCATATTTTAACTATCCAAATCTAGGTGAGTCTTAACCACTCTAGTAGGTTTAGGTTACAGATAAATATGTCTGAGCTTTACTCTTGAATGTAGTTTTCTTCTTTTTGTACTTAAGCTAGTTATATATAGTTAGCAGTTTAATGGTTAGCTCTAACTGCAAATGTTGGCCTTGGCCATAGCATTTATATAGAATTATTTTTGTACATAGTAATTCCATGAAGTTACTAACTTTAAAAACTACCAATAAAGATATGAGCAAGGTCTCACCTTAATACCAAAAAAAAAAAATAATAATTTATATTTCAAGATTGAAATAAATACTATATTTATAATATAAGTAATTTGTTTATTAGTAATTTTTTTTGTACTGATGATATTAATAAAATTAAAAATCTTTTTTTTATTAGTTTAATAGTTTAAGATTATTTATTATTAAATGTAATCTTATATTCAAAAAACTTGAAGAGTTTGTTTTTAGAAATAGAATAAATTAGAAATCTAGAAAACTATATTAAAGTAGTAGAGAAGTTTGTAACTAAAATAGACTTAGTTGAGTTAATTTAAATATTGACTATTTAATAGAAAGATGTAGCAATTTTAGTTATTAGTTTAAGTTTCTTTTTGGATTGTGCAATCTAGAGGATGTTATTTATATAAGCTAAAACTAATACAGATATTTTTAAAGTTTGAGTTTGTGATAAATGTCTATTTAAATTTGATCTTATTTAAATTTCTCTTAATAAAAAAACATGTTACAATATCTCTTCAAATACTTCATCTCTTAACTTTAATAATCAACCAATTACATCTCATAAATCTAATAAAACAATTAAATATATAGAAATTACTTAGACCAAGTTTGTACTAAAAGTAAATTAAAGACTCTTGTCCAAAATGAATAATATTTTTAGTTTTATATTAAGTAAACTTGTTATTGATAAAGTTCAAATATATGAAACTTTCTTGCATATTTGACATCTAAATTAGAAGAATATTTTAATAGCAAGTAAAGATAAAAACTGTTCTCTAATTAAAAATATTAAAAACAGAAGAAAAAAAAAAAAACTAGAAAAATTTTTCTTAACTTAAACTCTCGTAATAATAAAATATACCTTTTACATCTTTTTTTATTTTCTTTTTGTAAAAAATAAAAATTTAATTTATCTTCATCAAAAGATCAACACTATATATTACTTCTTTTTACAGTTACATACTTGTTTAGACAAGTTAAATAAGAAATACAACAAATATATGAATTAGCCAATCATGTAAAGCGGATCAGAAAAGAATTTAAACAAGAAAGACTAAGAATCTGTTAAGATATGCATATATTTTAAAACTATGTACATAAATGCAATCTTGAAGCCGTCCCGATTATGGGGGTCTGACTGTACGAGTAAATGATCCAAACAAGTCGCTATTCTGGATGGGTAAATACTTAACCCTAACTCTAAATTTGCTTTAAATACTTTTTCAATATGGCAATTGAGAACTGAGTTGGTAATACTGGTCAACGTTAAGTGTTTTAATATCATTTATCATTATAATAAAAAGTATCAACATTTTTAATTTTTAATAAGCATTTACATATAATAAAGAATCTGACAATAAATGCTATGAAATTACAAAAAAAAAAAGATATATATATAATCAAATGCAATAACTATATATTTGAAAGGATTAAAATGGTTGATAATGATATTAAATACACGGGCATTTAAAAAAGCGAAATACATTTATTAGACCGATCGTTTATTTTTTGTCTGGAACACACGTTATTAGTGTCAGTATAAACATTTATATTAATAGTAACTCGTAAAAAAATAAATAGACACAATAAATAAATATTAACAATGTCACACTAAGAGAATTAAACTTGAACTGTGGGATCTTCTCTAGTTATTTGTACTTTTGGTTTGCTTTCAACTTCTTTGGGTGAGAGGTTTTGTTTGGCCTTGAAAGTATCAATCATATTATGTAGGTCTTGGCAGACTTGTTCTTGCTCATCTAATTGAGCCATCAACTCCTCAATGAGGGTTTGTTGTTCAGTCATGGTAGTCGATTGTTCGATTATTAAATTATTAGCTACTTCCAACTCGTTTCGATATTGGGCCCGATCACGTTCTAATTAAACACATTCAAAGTTTAATAATAAATAAATTGAAATATATTTATTAGTCAAACAAACCAACCTTTTTCTTGTAAAAATTCCGTCTTTTCGGCTTTTAATTTTTCATTTTCAGCTAAAATTTTTGCTTGTTCTGCACGAAGTCTTTCAAGCTCAATACGAAGTTGAGAATTGTCTGTGCGAAGATTGTCCATTTCGGTCGATGGAGTGCTACCAGATCGTACACTCAAAGAATTGCTTTTCTTGAGGTTGAATAATGTTCTCGTTGAAGGATTAGACTTTAAGTTGGAGTTACTTGAAAGTTTTGAGGTGCCGAGAGGGTCATATGGTGCTACACGTGTATTTCTGCCGAACTGCGAAAAGCTTTCATCATTTTTTCTCTTGAATAAAGATTTTTTTTTGCAAAACTGTTTAATCAATTGTATTATTTTAGGAGATAAAAGAGTTAACAAATTATTTACCATTGCATTATTTGAATCATTTTTCATTTTAAGCGGTTGCCTCAGGCGAGTGTTCATTGTTGCACTATGATTTGGTGGGGAAGACTCCACTTCAGTTGTAGAGGACTGAATGACAGATTGAGATGGTATGAGAGAAGAGGTTGGCTTTGAGACCGTAGATGGCGGTTTCAAATTTGTTCGTATCATAGAAGATTTTTGTGAGGTTGGGATCGTTAAAGATTTTTGACTAGTCGTAATTTCACTATGCCCAGTTGTAGGCAAACGTGAAGGCAAGCGAGAAACTGATGACATTTTCTATAAACAATCGTTGACAAAGAGAGTTACGACTAAATTAAATCGTAACCTTTTAACTCAGTTTCGTGATGATACTTGAAATACGTTCAAATTTTTAACAAGACCAAATTTTAATATTAAGTACCTGAATCTGTAATTTATAAATCAGCAAGAGGTCCACAAGAGTCCACAAGAATGAAATGTATCTAATCAATTTTTGGTTATACACATTATACACGATATTCGGTTTTGGACGATTGGTTAGATTCAAGCAAACACAACCTTAATGTCTAAACGAAGTGCAGACACATACGACTTCAGGAATATCGGAATCCTTCATACCGCACCAATGACAACAAAAATAATAAAAATAACGCCGATCATCATAAACTAAAGGTTTTATTTTTTTAAATTAATTACACAAAAATACATGCTATTGTTACATATATTAGGCAATGAACTAATTATGCATAGATATGCGATTATGTGCATTTTAAATACTATTTAAATACTATATAATTTATAGCTTACCAAGAATTCGGACATATAAGATTTAGTATTCGTAGGGGTTCGCATTTATTGTCACTTAACACAGGACCTTGGAGGATCATTAAGTTTTGTTAAAAATAATGAACTTTCAATGTCAACTGTTAAGTAGCAGTGACACCACCTAATCCTAAATAAACACTAATATACAATTCATGCTCATTGTATAATTCCAAAATTCTGATAGAAACGCGAACCGAACAAAGTTGCAGTATAAATTTTTAGTCGAAAGTTCTATACATATTCTAAATATTCTAAGAATACATTTATTATTTTTTTGAATTTTTATTATCATTAAATATAATATTATATCAAGATCTAGGTGCCAAATAAGACAAAGCAAAAAAATGACGCGAAAGCACTTTACCACATTAATTTATTAAAAATAGGTAAGACGACGTCATTAAAATCGAAATATTAATAATAATAACAATCTACTGCGATACTTCATTTGCTGGCTTCCACAGTTTTATTGTCCCATCAATGCTTGTAGATATCATTGCATCTATGCGAGGATGATATTTTACGCATGTAACAACTCCCGAATGAGCGTTACTTAATGTAGTCAATACCTTTCCCTGATATAAATTCAATTAATATAAGGACTTGAACAATCACTAATAAATTTATAACCCCTATAACACGATCATTACCTCCAGTAAATCCCAAATGTATATAGCACCATTTTCTGATCCACTGATAACATACGCATCATCCTTAGATAGACAAGAATGAATCTTGTATGATGAATTAATATGCCCCTTAAAGCTAAAAAAAAAAAAAAAAGTAGAAATAATCAATATAAGATATATAACCTTTTTTTTATTTATTTAGATCAAGTATAATTATAGAGACTCCATTAATAAAATTGATTATTGATAAATTGATTTATAGTAGAGTCCTCTATAGTACACTTGGTCCATTCTTTTTTTTGAATTACTTACGAGTTCAACATTCCGCCATTTTCTCTGTCCATTAATCTAATAACATTGTCCAAACTACTTGCAAGTATACAATTAAAGTCATTGGACACAGATACTGATGTCACCGGATCTTTGAAGAAACGAAAAAGTAAACCTCATGAAATGATTTTAAGTATCTTAACGATTGTATCATCAAAAAACTTACGTGAAATTAAGTCAGTCAGAAGGGTACCCATTCGAACGTCGTGCGTTCGTATATTTCCATCAGTACATCCAGATACAATTTCATATTGAGAGATCTGTAGAGATGTAATACTATCTTTTGCTTCTTCTAAAATCTGGATTGGCATACGACTTTGTGACCTGATAGTAAAACGAATGAATGAATAAAAAATGACATAAATTTGATAATTACTACTATAAAGAATAATACCTACCTACAGTCCCACAATCGTATAGTTGTGTCATATGAACCTAATAAGTAAATCAAGAAAATTATAAATGTTAAAGAAAATATAAACATGCGTACCATTATTCCCAAGATAAGTACCGCTGGCAATTACTGTCCCCTCCGCATTAAAATCAACGGTGTTCACGCGCTATATTATTTAAATTTCACTTTAAGAATCATATATAATTATTGTAGGAGGATTGCGACAGTCTAAATTATACTTGATTGTGGCCCTCAAAACGTCTGATCGTTCTTCCAGTGGAAACATCCCAGTAATAGACTTGACGATCTCCTCCGCAAGAGACGAAACGCGAATGATCTAGGGTACTTAAAAGTGGATACATGAATTGAAAACAACTATGAATAAAACATTCTTATTTTTAAATAACCTTGTAAAAACTTACACACTGATATCTAATACTTCTTTTCCATGCCCGGTATATGTTTTAATACGTAAGCCGGTCTCTGGATTCCATAAGCACACATTTTTGTCTTGTCCTCCACTGAGAAGGTACTCGCCACTTGAGTTATAACGTGCAATGTGAACAGGCCCCTCATGCAAATCAAAGGTATGAATGCATTGTGTTGGTAAATTTTTTCCTGATACAGTTGACATGTCACTATATCGATACGTGAGGGTAAAATCGCCACCAAAAAAAAAAATTTGAAATCATGTGATGTACATCATGCAATAATTAAAGCAAGGTGCGTTAGAGTTACTTTTTTTGATGCAGTTATCGTTATGTGTCCTAGTGTTACATTAAAGTACAAATATAGACACGCGTGCGGACATACAAAAAATTTCCAAATTGCATTTCTGATGTGAATTTCATAATTTTTATGTAAGTGCGGCAAAAAGGTACCTTTCTTTGAACCAAATACATCAAAAACGTAACTTTTGTGTCCTCCGCTTCGCTCCGAACAAAATATAACTTATATTATCAAATTTTATTTCTTTGTTGTGTTTGTAAAGTATAATTGTTTTTTTTTTTTTGCATCTACAGAACAATCAAAATTTAGGTTAGAGTTAAGACTAAAGAATAATTTTATAATTTTTTATACAACCTAATTATAAGAGTTAAGTTTGTTTCGATAGTTGCAATTTGCAATATTGATGTCATTCATAGATATAAAGCATTAAGGGCGTATCTTTTTCTCACCAAATATGATGTGGTAAGTCTATTTAAGTCTATTTTATGAATTCACACAATGAACAGTCAAATGTATAACTTGAGATATCACAGATTAGAATTTGAAATATCATTGTAAATAGCGTATGTAAGTTTAATATTTGAAATATTCATGGTCATGTTTAAAGTTATAACGTATTACAGTGTTGTCACTAGAACCTCGTTGGATGTTCGAGTTTCAGTGAGAAATCCCACTGGATCGTTTATAAAAGACATTCATCAAGTCAATCAAAAAAATTTATTTATTATCTATTATTATATTAGCGAAGCTTTATTGTTTTTGAAAATAGTACAGTCTTCCTCCTCTATTATCACCCAGTTTGTTTCACATAAACTTATGATTATAAAAGAGTGTGATTATATAATATTTATAATCACTATACAGCTATTTCTTTATATAGTTACCTCTTATATAGTCTATATATATCGTAATGAATATTGACGGCGCATAAGTCTTCTATCTATATATTATTATTATTATTATTATTATTTTAGTTATTATTTTTATTATCTTTTTCAATTCCAATTCCGTTCTACGTAGTACGTATACGTACGTATCTCTTTGTCTTACTATCGTATTTCCAAAATTAGTAACTGATAATGGATTAGTGGCTGACGCATGAGAACCCGTAAATGTAATAATATTACGTAAACATAATAATATCGCGTATACGTTGTTACCTCTTATATGTAAGTCCTTCGCCCCAAACACAAAAACTATAGCGAAAACCCAAATCTTAAGTTAACGCTAAATCCTTGAGTAGTCGCTAAATTTTTATCAAAACGCCTTGAGAAAACAAAATGTATATAAGCACTTCAAAAATTAATAAAGAACCACAGTTCACATCCATCATTAATTACCAATAAAATAAAAAAGTGTATACTTATCTTATGCCTTGTCCTCTTAAAATTGAGGTATAAAATTAATAAACCCTTCGAGACTCAATTCGACGGACCGAATTGACTAGTAACTTCGATCTGGATTATTAACTTCAGTACGGTAGCGGAATTAAATATTGTCATTCTTGACTCTAATAGAAATAATAGTAGAGAACGACCCTACTATCCACCACGTGAACCTAAAGTTATCATTGATATCATCCAGTCATCACTTTAACAGCATCACCCGTCATTGCTTCCTGTTAATCTATCCCTGATTGATATCAGAGTATTCACCTTTCGTCCTACTAGTCCCCTAGAAATTATAAAAGAATGACTTCGTTATCCAAAGTTTTTCATCACTCACCCGTATACCGTTAGGGTTAAATTGGCCCTATCCTCCGTAATCTATAATCTGCTCTCCCAATAACGGTTACAATATATAATTTGTGCAAACCATAATTTAATTTATAATAAAAAAAATTTACTATGTGCCTAATTGTATAATTGTATAGAAGGATAAATGTATTGTATTACCGATTAATTATGAGAATATAAAATTTGGTTTATAGTAATCAGACCATATTATTATAGTTATTATATATAAGGCATAAGGCTAAAAACAAATTAATTTACAAACTTTATTTCTAAAAGAAAAAACGTATATAGTGAGCTGCTGTATTATAAAAATCAATTATTTCCTGTATAAATTTTAGTTCTCAGAAATTAACAGTGTATTGTTGTGAACGCATGAATATCAAAATTAAGTTAAAAAATCAATTGCTTTCGCATAAATTTAGTTTCCGTAAAATATTACGAGGGATAAACCCCGACACACTCTATTTGAACTTTAGTTCTCACAGAGAACCGAAAATATTTTACAGATCGTAAGGCCAAAGTAAGTTAAAATTGATTGCCTTTCATATGAACCTTGGTTCTCACAGAGGCATAATCATATCACAAATCATAACAAAGTAGTAATGCCCAATAATTAAACTTCAGATCTAATTGTGACATGATTTATTTCAAAAAATTAATATCGATATGGATTATCGTATTCAAATTTATATCTATTTCATATTGGACAAATGAATAAGTTTCTGATTTCGGCCGATATAGGTGATTTATTTTTATTGATTCGGTCATCGGAAAATTATTCAGTTGTCCTAGAATTTATGAAAACGGGTAATCCGAATCTGAAAGGAATTCAGATCCAGACTCCAGTCCTAGCAAAGTTGGTTTATACATTGATATTGATAGTATTATAGCTATTCTCATAATTCCGGGACACTTAAAAATTTGCTCGTTTCCCGAAACCTCTTCAATCTCGCTTTAAGAGCCACCTTACTTTTCCGAAACCACGTCGCTATCTCTGTATCGAAGTTCCAAGACAATATAGTAGATTCCAAAAAAGTTAGGTGATTCTTAAAATGAGATCGAAAGATTTCGGGAAATCGAGCAAATTTTTAGGTGTCCTAGAATTTATGAAAACAGCTGACAAAATTTGGTCGTTACCAGAAATCTTTTGGTTTCATCCTATAAACCACAAAACTTTCTGGAGATTACATTGCTGTCTCTAGACTGAAGGTTCGAAGATAGAGATGTAGTTTCCGGAGAGTTGGGTATTTTACGGGATGAGACTGAAAAGATTTGGGTAACGAACAAATTCTTGATTTGTCCCAGAATTTATGAGAACATTCGTAATAACTCCGATGCTAACATCGATGCTATTATTACTTTAAGGATTATGTAGGAGTTAAAATCCAAAGATAATACGTTTTTTAACCTTTCGAACATTATTATCGTGCAACATGAAAGTACATATGTCGTTATCATTATAGACAGAAATCTTTACCACATTTGGGTGGTTAACATTAAAATCTGCGATTGCTTACAACCAATTAAAACAAGTCCCTAAAACTTATTTGCATTTAAAAAGCAAACGATCGTCTTGTTGTTAATGTTTGTATTTCAAAAAACTCTTCTCACAATTTTTACATATAAACTCTAAATTTAAATTTTAATTCGATGGTAAACATAATTAAAGCGAATCAACGGGAGAAGGAAATAGATGTTGCACGATGCAAGGGTATCTTACAAAAAAATGAAATTTTATGCAAATTTTCAATGATTATCGCACATAATAATTTTTGATTTTCGATAATTCAAGGGAATTGGGGTGCGATTCCTGAATTAGCGAGAAAATATCGAAAGCATAGTCCTGATGGACTAGGTAGTTTATTTTATTTTATTTTATTTATTTATTTATAATTTAATATTCGTTATTAATTACATGATTAAATTATTTTTATAGTTTTAGAACAGACTGTATTAGGGGAATTAGCTTTAGTACAAGCGATTGAAAAAGCTAAAGATGACAAGGAGATTTATGATAATGATTCACCCAATAATATTTCGATGCCTCCAACCATTGATGATTCTTTAGTCAGTGACGTATTCGTTAAATTGGAGTCGGCGCTTTCACATTCAGGACAAGAGAAAGAGGTGAGCCAATGCAATCTTCGATAGAAAGTGATAGGAATGCCTTCACTTAAAAATTATTAAATAAGGTATGTCATATTCATTTTATGTTATAGTTTTACATTCATATTACAAAGTTTTTATGACAATTGTTTTTTTTTTTACTCAAGAATTGCTTTAAATCAAAATGGTGATGACTATTATGTTATGATCAAAACGTTAGTTCATTCGATAATTTTCTGACGAAAAGAAGGAATGATCCTTTTATCTACTACAATTATAGTACACTTCTATTGTACTAGCACGTACTTATTTCTCTGTGGGAAGATTTGACAAATGTATCCAGACTTTGAGTACCGACTTTGTTCCACCTCAAATACCTGGAGGCTATAATTTCGTACTTATCATTCAAGGCCTAGCTATAAAAGGTTTGTGAAGAAAATTTATATATTAAAGATATTGCACAAGTAAAGTGATGATCAATAAGAAGTTCAATAGGGTTCCTGGTTGCTGCCAAATTTAACCCTATTGGTATCCTATTACCTACGGATTTTGGTGCAAAAGGAGGTCAATAGGGTTACCAAATTATAAAATATTTAATAAATAGTAACTTATTATTGATTAAATAATTTAAATCAGTAAAACTTTATTCAATATGAAGTCAATCTGGCAATAATCAGGTAACTCTATTGACCTCCTTTTGCGCCAAAATCCGTAGGCAATAGGATACCAGTAGGGTTAAATTTTGCAGTAATTGAGTAATCCCTATTGAATATCATTTTATTTGTGTTGGAATCATTGATTTATTACAGAATGAATTTTATGAAATTTTCTTCTTTTCAAGGAATGGCACAAGAAACATTTGATGAAAATGATAGTGCAATCTCTTGTTATGATCAAGCTTGCTCTTTACTGGCACAATATTCTGGTGAAAGACATGAACAATTGTCAAATTGGACGGAAGAAGTTCTATATCGGGCATCATTACTGAAAGTAAGATTGGGGTAAGAACAAGAATTTAATAACTTTCATGACTGTAACTTGTACTTTTACAATCATAAAAATTTCTATTTTGTTTACAGAGATGTTAACGGAGCACTTCAAGCCTTTAGAACATATCAACAATATTCCACTTCATGGGGTGAAAAATTCAGACCTAATAAACGTGCTGTCATATTTATGAACTTTATAAAATTTCTTTCGAAAACGTACCAAGAAAAAGCTTATGTTCCACCAAGTGCGTCTGCCGAATTTATACTAAAGTATGTAATTCATCGAATATCTAGTTGTTCTTAATGGTGTAAATTATATGGATTATAAATACGTATTTTGCATGTAGCGAACAATCCGCTATATATACACCACATACGTTTCGCGTCGAATTAACTGGACTGCATACACTATATGAGAATGTATTATATCAAATAACGTCATTTCCCAGGGCTGGTGAATCAAATTGGAGAGTTCTGGAGATGGTTGATCAAATAATGTCTGATTGGGTTGTGTTAAATGGTGGAACAACTGCTGAAATGCGGGGATTGGTTGAGGTTAGCTTATTTAATAGTTTTAATAGTTTAGAAATTGCACATTATCCATAAATTATTTGTAATAATTATTTATTTGATTAATGTAGATGCTTTATCGCGCTGCTCAAAGGACCTTCCAATCTCCAAAAATCCTACGTTATCTAACATTTGTTTTGAACACGGTTGGTGATTATGATGAAGCCGAGTTAGCTTTAGAAGCCTACACCGCCTTGGTTGAGAAAATTAGGGAAACAAAAACAGCTGAATTTTTTAAAAGGATTCCTTCTGCAGAAAGCACACATGAGGATACATTTTCTGATAATGAAAGCATCGAGCATGTCGTGAAAGTATTTATTAATGGTTCAGAGATGATGGCAAAACATTTATGCAAGGTGGTTATATTATTCATATTATTTATATTTATTTGTATTAAGGAATGGTTTACTGTATATAAAAATTTTATGACCATTTATGATATAGTCAGATGAAACTTTGGCATATGCACAAAAGGCCGTGGCCTGGTGTGAAATTGACGATGATTTTGCGGATAATAAATTGTTAGCTCATGCTTGGCGCTGTGTTGGTGTTGGCTACAGTTTAACTGCACGTGAAGGTTAGTTTACTTAATTATTGTAATATGAGATATGAATGATTTCGCTGTTGAAACCCATTTTTTTTTGTTGTAATTTCATATTTATTACCAATAGTAATTGATCCGGATAATCGTCCTGGTCTTCACTCCAAAGCAATCGAAGCCCTTGATAAGTCGATATCGTTTGATCCGGATGCTTTTGAAACGCATTATCTTTTGGCCTTAGAATATGCAATTACAAGAGACATTAATAAAGCAACTGCTTGCGCACGACAAGCTATAGTACTAGAAAATGAGAGCATCCCTTGCTGGCATTTACTTGCTCTTCTCATGTCCTCTCAAAAAGAAATTCAAGGCGCATTGAAAGCATGTGAAATGTTTTTAAATGAAACGGATTTAGAAAATACGGATTCGTCTATTGAGGATGGTGAAGAATTTTTATCTTTTAAATTAACACAAAACGCCTTGCAGGAGTTAGCAAACGGTCCTGAAACCGCGATACAGAATCATGAAAAGCTTTTCATTTTATATGCAAAAATGTTTCCTGAATATACTGTAATATCTCCAAGTGACCTCACATATGATTCGTCTAGTTCACGGAGGCATGATGATACTCAAACACAAACTATACAATCACCAAAACCTGCAACTAGTTTACGAAGCTTTCAAAGCATCATTGAAAAGAAAGATGGTGATGAAAGCACTGACGGATCCATTTCAAGCATTGGATTAGGAAACAAAGATACACTCGGTAAATTGGCTAAGAGTGACAATTTACATATTTTTAACCTATTACAATAAACTATTAAACTCTATAAAAAAAAACTTTCTTATAATGCATTAATATTAGAGGTTCCCAAAGCAAATTATGCATCATCGATTGCGTCTTCCAGGAACTCAGCATCATCTCGTCGTAGTACAACACCCACCATTTCTGGTATTCCATCTGCTAAATCGGTGACATCATTTACCATACCTTCACAACCAGTACTGAAAATGCGGCAAAGAAAACAACGAGCTACTAAAAGTTTAGTAGATTTATGGCTTTCTTCTGCAGCGACCTTTCGTCGTCTTGGCAATTTAGAAGAAGCACAGAAAGCCATAGAAAATGCTGAAGAGACTGATAATTCTAATCCGGATGTATGGTGTCAGGTACCATATAAAATACCTATTTTATTTGTTAGTATCAACATTGATGTATCTATTAATTGATAATTAAATATAATTTTACAGTTTGGTTATTTGCTTTCTATTCAAAAGCAATATGCTGATGCGATTACATCATTTCATAAAGCTCTTGCAATTGATGGAAGTCATGTTCCAGCTCTTATTCATTTAGCCAGAACTTATATTGAAACAGATAATATCGATATTGCGGAGGGCCTTCTCGAGAATGTCACTAAGGGCAATGGTTGGGACTGTGCAGAGGCTTGGTACTTTATTATTTTCTTTAGATATTGTTTTTTTTTTATCATGGTTTAAAGTTTGAAAGTATAGCAAAGATTGCATAATTTAATATCAATTATTATTAAAACTAATTATCATTTACTTTACTTTTTAACTAGGTTATATTTAGGTAAAATATGCCAAAATACCAATAGAGTTAATAGAGCTAAAGAATATTTATGGTATGCTTTAGATCTAGAAGAATCAAATCCTGTGAGGCCGTTTAGTATATTACCTGCATGTTTATGAAATTCATATTTAAGAATTTTGAGTCATATTATGTAATTAATTTATAATCTTTAGAAACTATAAAACTGTTACTGATTTGTTAGTGATCCTTGTTTTGGTATATACTCCCTATACTTATCAGGCTTTTAATAAAAATTTATAATATTGATTCATGATTAAATAAAATAATATTTTAAAAGCTTAAAGAAGTTTTTCGTCTTTTGCTAGTTCTCATGATTATTACTACACGTGTAAGATTATCAACACTTTTAAAATGATTGTTTCAGGATCTGCAGATTCAGACATACGTGAAATTTTTTAGATATGTTTATGTATTTGGGTTTAAGTCACGTGATTGATGGCTTTGAACTATCCCTGTAACTCTAATTGGTCAATCTATGTAGATCAGCAAAATTTGTATTTATATATCGACGATTTAATTATTTTGAATTCGTTGAATTCGTTTCTTTTTTTTCGAATCATGGCCTGCCCATCGATAATTAATAAGCCAGGTTCTGATAACATCACTGGCGAAGTTAGTATGAAATCATTATTTGAATCTTTTAGGGATTCACTAGACCAACATGTGAGTTGAAAATACCATATTTAGAAGTCTGCTGTTTTTCTTTGAAAGTGGACTAATGAAATCAAAGTATGATAGGAGAGAGCGTATTGTCAAGGCATCAAGGTTTACTATTTCTATATATATATATATATACGTATTTCAGCATGCCTCAATAACTCAAATATCAATTTTCCTATTTATAATCATTCGTTTATTAAAGAGATATCACAGCTCTAAGTAAAAAACTTATTGGCCTCGCACACAGGTAATAATATTTTTAATCCAAAATTTTTAATATTTTCTAATATTAATGTGGAATATTTTTTTTATATTTTCAGAGTTACCCAAAAACCATTAAAATCGATTCTTCAAGAAGCAAATGAAAAAAAAGAAGAAATAATTCAACTGTTCAAAGAAATTTCCCTTGAATTAGAGGGTATTAATTATTATAGGTAATGATTTGTTTGATTCAAATGTAATTTTTTTTTTCTTTTGGACTAAAATGTAATTAAGTTTGTAGGTATCATAAGAATATTTCTCCCTCAATTCAAGAATATATTGAGGCTATTTCATTTTTAGAATATTTGCAAAATGATCGATTGATTACAAAAGATCAAGTTGAAAATGATTTCATGGATGAAACTGGTACTCAGGCATGCGAATAAAATTTATCACCTTACGGACAGACAAATTTAGTTATTTTATTAATAAAAAATATATGGATTTTAGTTTTTACTAATTACGGACGAAGATTATGTAATGGGTCTGGCTGATCTAACTGGTGAATTAATGAGATATGCAATTAATAGTGTTGGAAAAGGAGATCATGATCGAGCGATTAAAGTTTGTCATTTCCTACGCGATATGAAAATTGGTACGTTAATACTTCAAAATCGTTCTTTTCATCCACTATCCAATAATTTTTTAAGTGTTTTCTGATTTCACTCGGTACGTTAAAAAATATATATAGATTTTGAAATTCTTAGAATTCATCCAAGATCTCCTTTGGGTCGAAAAATGGATACAATTCGTCAAAGTTTATCAAAAGTTGAAGATGGTATCGTTATTAAACTAGTATTATCTAACCTAATTATGTAAACAAAAATTGTTATCCATATTATTAATTCTTACTTCGCTTAATTTCTTAGCTTGTTATGCACTAACGATTAGAGGCTCAGGTATGTTACTTTTCGAACAGCAAGTGGATCTATTATACGATTTAAATAATCATAATTTCTTGTCATGTGATAGAATATCCTAAGGAATTTTATCAACACATTGTTAGTGAACATGCGAAGGGTTATGAACATATTGAAGATGAGGAGTAATATCAATTTTCTTCATGAGATAGTTGATATTAACTAGACCAAATTAATATATGAAACATTTTTTATATAATTTTGATATACAAAAAATGTGTTATATAGATAGCAAACATATATGTAGTATTAATAAAGTTTTTGGAAGTGACCAAATTTTATTAATAAGTATATTAAATTTTTATTTATATTAGCAAAATTTTAGAGCTAAAGTTATAAAAAATCAGAAATAAATATGCATTGCATAGATGCGATACTCTTATTATGTTTAGTGTAGTCTAATATGCATGCTTTGAATCTGATATTATACATATAATAATATTGTAAATTAGTTTTGTGATATTTTAGAAATTTATCCAATTAAATTTTAATAAATTTTAAAATATCACAAAATTCATGCGATAAACTCGAATTATTAAAACAAGTTTCAACCTCTAAGCTATTAGTTGTATATATAAATTAATTTAGGTTATCAAGTACTTTTTTATGCAATAACGCGAAATAATACAAATTGTGTTCAATACCATATATATATATTTTTTAGTAGTTTTGCTAATAAAATTTTGGCTTAGGTAAGAAACTATAGTTAAGATATAGGTTTAAATTTTTAGTTAGAGTGAGGTTCTTGGGGTGTTGACCATTTTTAATATATCCAACAGGAGGGAACGTCAATGTTACACGACTAATCCCTCGCGGTTCATAAAAAATTTATTACAATATTGAATCACTCTATCGTCAATGTTATAGATATAATCCTTCACCTGTTGGACTAGTTATGCAACATTGCCTTTTAGTATACCTAACATTGGTTATTTAGCTATATAACGACTGTGTTGAATGCCAATGGTGTGATTTAGTAAAACCGAACCTACTTTAAATAAAAAGTTTTTTAAATAAATGTAGGAACTGATATTTCTACATCTTTTTTTGATACTGCCATACTTCCATTAATATAAATTAATATAGATTGTACAGTCTACCCTCGTTTATATCAACCCATTTGGATTGGTTTTAAATTATGTTGATAGTGATATTAACGAGAGATTATATTAAAGTTGATATACAGTATATGAGGGAATTTTGATATATAAAGTTTTGATTTGTGGCTTAGGCCGATATTAACGAGGTTGATATTAACGGGGGTCGATTGTATATGACAACTTATGTTCCACGGCCCCTAATGTTCGCCCGTTAACATTTCTGATATTTAATACCATAAAAATATCTATTACATATTAGCCAACCAAATTTTATTTTAATAAAGTAAAAATCAAGTAATAAAAAAACAGCAAATTTATTTTATTTATTTGATTTATATATACACTGTATATTCAAATATAATCTGCTTAAATAATTTAAACATAAACAATAAACTTTTTAATAAAGTTCTTTAAATCAAATTGATCTGATTCGGATTTAGGTTTGAACAGTTAAAATTTTAAATATCTATTATCAAAGAAATTTTAATTTACAAAAAATTTTACTAAGTTACCGATTTTGAGCTCTTAAGTAAAAATGTTCTTTAATCAAAATACCCTAGTTTCATAGAACGAAAAAGTCAATGTCATAATAAAATTTCGAATGAATAGGTTCCGAATTTAAATGTTCAATAGTAATTTTTTAATCAAATCAAATTTAATCATATTTGAAAATTTAGTATTGAATTTGATTTGGGTTCAAATATTTGGTCAAATCAAATCGAACCCTACTTTTTACAAACTTTTAGACCTGAAATATTTCAACTTGCTGTATTATAAACTTTTGGTAATAAACTTACTTGTCACTTATAAATAACTATAACTATAGAGTATATAGTTACTATTTATGCTATGTATTTGTTATCTTAAAAGAAATGATTTGACTTCTTGACTTGTAATATCTAAAACAATAAAATGAAAAATAAAAGTTATAATGCAAACAATCTAGTAGATTAAAGGTTGTTAAAGTGTAAAAAATCAAGTATTTAGAGAGTTTCGCGGCTTTTATGCCAATTTTCGTGTAATGTTATTAATAGGTGTAAAAGATGTGAGGCCAATAGGATTCTCCCAAAGTTATAAAACGATCTACAAATTTAGCCAATCATAATACGTGAGAAATCATTTACTGTACGCACATACATACTTTTAACAAATTCCACAATTATGGCAAGTCAGACTGACAAAAACGATTATGATACTCTGCTTGAACTTTATTCTAAGTTAAAAGATGAAAATGAACAACTCAAGAATAGAGTTAAAGAATTGGAAAACCAGCTCATATGTTCACAATCATTGACAAACGTGAATTCAAAGCCGATACATGTACATTCAAATTTAGATGTTAAATCGGAAACAACTAAGTTAAGGAATAATAACACATTGTCTTTAGAAGAGTACTTACGCTATGGACGTCAGCTTATTCTTCCTGGTTTTGGCATTTCGGGTATAAATATATATATATGCATGCTCAAATAATAAATCTATAAATTTGAAAATTTGAGAATTTGGTTTTATACATTTGTTTCATAGGTCAACTTAAACTTAAGAATAAATCAATATTAATTGTTGGAGCTGGTGGTTTGGGTGCACCCGCAGCAATATATCTTGCTGCAGCTGGTGTTGGTAATGAGCTGCTCTGTCAACTGATTTGAGTATTTATCAAAGGCTAAAATTCATTAATTATCATAGGCAAATTGGGTATCATAGATTATGATTCAGTGGAATCATCAAATCTACAACGTCAAATAATTCACAATGAGTCAAGAACTGGTATATCTAAAGCTCAGTCTGCAAAAATGACTATACAAGGGTAATAACGATAATTCTTTGGTGGATTACCATAACTTATTAAACATATTAATCATATATAATATGTATATTTACGCAGATTGAACTCACTATGCGAATGTGTTGCATATGATCTCCTTTTGGATAGTTCAAATGCACTTGACATTATAAGAAAGTGAGTCTACAGTAAATCTTGTTGATATTTTAATATATTCTTTATTAAATTATTTATAGATATGATATAGTCATTGATGCGACTGATAACGTCGCTACTCGCTATCTTCTCAATGATGCATGTGTTCTAACCGGCAAGCCTTTGGTGTCTGGTAGCGCTTTACGTATGGATGGACAATTAACTGTGTACAATTATCGAGGAGGACCTTGTTATCGATGCTTATTCCCAAAACCTCCACCACCGGAAAGCATTCTAAACTGTGATGATGGTGGAGTTTTGGGTGTTGGTTTGTTTATTTCATGATTGAATCATTTATAAAATTGTTTGTATATGATCCTAATTGATCCAAAAAACTTAGTGACAGGAGTGATCGGATGCTTACAAGCTTTACAAGCAATAAAAATTGCTGCTGATATGAATGGTGAATATATTTCTTTTCTAATTGAATAAAAAAAAAATCCAATTGGTCCTACACTATAGACCATTGATATAGAATCTTGTAATTATAAAAATTGATGTAACTATTTGTCCGAAACTTCTTCAATCTCGATTATTATTTCTTGCTAGCTAACAATTAGTTATACAATTTGAACGTGAAAGCATGTAACGTTTTATATTAATATCCATCAACGTTTAGATGACGGAACCTCTCATAGCCTTTTGATATTCTCAGCTAACTCAAACCCCCTCTTTCGATCCATTAAATTAAGATCGAAAAAGCCTGATTGTGTGATATGTAGTGATCATCCAACTATAACAACATTGCAAGATTATGTTCAGTTTTGTGGCAGCGGTGCATTGGACAAGGTATGATGATTCCGAAAAAATTCTGTGTGCGTATAATTGCAACTTTAATGGTCAATCTACAGTCACCTTCAGTAAAATTACTCGGTGATGATGAAAGGATAGATCCAAAGGTAATTAATTAAAGTGTTACTTTACAATAAAATTGATGTAAAATTGATGTACAAATCATGTTTCAGTCCTATTATGCTTTAAGAACCAAATGCATACCACATGTCCTTGTTGATGTGCGTGAGCCTGTTCAGTTTGATATTTGTAATTTACCTGGCTCGCTGAGTAAGTCGTTTCATTTCGTTATGGAAATTACGGTTTTTTGCTTAAATATTTTGGCAAAATTTTCAAATGTTACGTCTTCATTTAACAAAAAGATATCCCATTGAATGAACTTCCTAGAAAGGTGGATTTGATACAACAATCTTTACCATCAACGGCAGCACCAGGTGTGATTTTAATTATAATGTAATTTTAATTTTATATACAAAAAAAATGCTAACATGTCAATAATTCAATGTCGAATAAGTTTACATAATCTGTCGTAGGGGTAATGACTCTCAACTCGCTGTTCAAACATTAAAAAAGGTTTTACAAGGAGAAATAAAGGATGTTGTTGGAGGATTATACCGGTGGGCTAAGGATGTCGATCGTGAATTTCCTATATACTGAGATGTGATGTTCCTAGTTGCTATTTAGTATTTGTAACCTTTATTTTTATTGACAAAATTTTCTTGCAATTATGAATAAAACCAGACTTTGAAACCAAGGGAGTTTTTTTTTTTACTGATCGATGGTCTAATAAGACCAATTCTACTACAAGTGTTCCAAGTGAACAAATATTTAGCATTAGCGGGGATATGATTTAAAGATAGTACTATTTGCGTAGTATATGCACTGCACGGTTGGCAAATGACCTAGATGACCTGATGACTTTTGTCATTTGTCATTTTACTTTAATGACAAATGACCATTGACAAATACATAAATAAATAAGCTATGTGATACCACTTCACTTGGTAACCCTATTAAATGACCAAATGAACAATGACTATGGTAATTTAGTCATTGTCATAATTTTTGAATGACCAACTGTACGCGAAAAATTTTGCCGATTCTTTCTACCAGCCAATAAGATCGCTAGAACGTACTGTACGCGAAAACAACTTGGATACCACACAAATACTACATCTTTAGATATGACAATTGATTAGATAGGAAACAATTCGAAGAGCAATGCGCTTAAAATTACGATGAAACGAACTATATAATTAAACGTGAACATATAAAATGTACATAGTTGTTTAGCTTACATAATCCTTTAGTTGTATAACGATAACCTTTATCCGGATTAGATCTATTTGGTTCAGGATTAGATCTGGACCTTTAAAAAATACATCCGATTCGATCTGTGCAGAACACTAGCCAATATTAGCCGAAAGTTTTAGTACTTAAAAAGTAACAACCGCAATATTACGAGTTTTTTTTTTTTATTGTTCTTAATAAATAAGTATATTTTTATAATTAAATAGTAAATGTTTAGAAATATAATGCTTTGTGTAATTTGTTTCAGAAATTTTAACTTTATATTTTTAAACATTTATAAATATGGATACACGAAGATTCAAATCTTTTATACCAGTTTTTTTTTTAACTATACAATAAATATAGTTCAAGTTTTTGTATCAAAATTCAAAAAAATGCAAAAAAATTAATTAATTGTAAAAGTCAAACAAAAACTTAAATCCTGATATCATATATAAAGCATTTTTAGTATATTATAGATACAATACAAATATTAATTAGAAAATAATAATCGTTAAAGAGTAAATTATTACCTCTTATAAAAAACTATTAAATCCGATAAAAATTATTATGTATTTGAACCTGAAATTGATGATGATTATAATTCAAATAAAATTAAAAATTATAATAAAGGTTTATAATTAAATTGTAAATATATACTTTTATTATAGATATTATAATTTATTTTTTTTACTTTGGTATATAGTTTTGTTAGTTAACATCTTATTAAAATACTATATTTCATACAAATATATTTAAATCTAATACTATTAGTATTGATGTCCTGTAATTACTTTTATAAGTATTTTTAATAAGCATTTACAAGTGATCAGTTGCACCAGTTAAGTAAAACTAAAGGTACATAATATTATATCTGAAAAATATATTCAATTACTGTTTTATAATAGGATTTTATTAATTTAATAACATTTTCTCATAAAAATAAAAAAATAACAAAACATATATAAAAAAAATCCAAAAATATAAAATAAGAAATAAAATAAAAAAAAATAAAAAAAATAAAAAAAATAAAAAAACAACTTTTGTTCTATTAATAACAGATAATTATAATTATAAGCTTGTGTTAGATTTTTAAAAATTATAAATAATACTAAATACAAATATCTTTAGTACTATTTCTATTTATTAAGATTATTTAATCAAACCTATATAAAAAAAACTTTAACTTGATTATAAAGAGTTAAAACAAAATATTGATTAATAATTGGTTTAAAATAGTATTTATTAGTTTTTTAACTACTTGAAACATATATATAAGTTACGTTTATATTGTTATATTATTTTTTATATTAAGTTGTACTATAATATTGTTTAAAAAGTAAATATTATTAACTGCTTTAGCGATCTTTTGAAAAAAATAAGCTAAATCTTTTACCTTTACAAAACTTAAATAAAATAAAAATTATTTGTATAAGTTTTACAATTATATAGTAGTTTTTTTTAGTTTTTAGTAGTTTTGACTAGAGTTTTTATAATATTACTTTTAAAATAAACTTTCTAATTTGAATATCAAATATAACAAATATTCTACTTAGCAAGAAAGCTTAACTTCAATACAAACCATCTCAAGTATATCTACTCTTTAGTATTTTACATCTTGTAAGCTTTGTCAACAACTTATTTTACACAAGATCAAAAGTAATACCTTCTTATAGATTGACAAAATAGTTGCTAGATTATTATTAATTTCTAAAGTTGGTACTTGAAATATGATTAAAAAATAAATACAGTAAAACAATTGCAATAAAATAACTTATACCACTTTAGCAAGTTTATAAAACATAAATCAAGAGAATATTGTAATAAGAATATAATTATTTGCACTAAAGAAATATTAGTTAAACATGTGATAATTATGATTTTAGAAATATTGGAATTTTATTAGAGTAGGGGTAGGTAGACCATTTTTTATATAGTTTTATATAGTATTTTATAAAATTAATATACACTATAAATAAGGTTTATTATATCAAGGGTCTAGTTAAATAATTTTTTCTTTATGCTAGTGCAAAATTTTTAATTAAAGTTGGATTTCTTAACAAACGTTTTAAAACCAAACAAATAATAGTTTGGTATCTATTTAATTTCGTGCGAGATAAATTCGCGTAAGGATGATATCAGCATCTCACATGTAGGTATATCTCTAGATACGGCTAGATTGCTTGCACGATAATCAATATATTTGGCACATTTGCCTTTGTCGCGAGACATTTTACAAAAAAATTTTTTAACATTAATCTATTTAATTTTCTGACTAAAAAATGTTCAGAACTAAAGAAAATATATTATTAATTCTTTTTCATAAATCTATTATATATATATATATATTTCATAAATCTATTATAGGTGTTTGAACGTGACTGGAAACTACATGTTAAAAAAGGCCTGGATACTGCATATACCTACTGAAAAAAAGACATAAATACGTATCTAAATAATTGTCAAAATACAATTTCTTGTATTTTACTTAGCTAAATTGTACATTAATTGACCAAAAATGAACATTTAAATTGCTATGTAATCTAAATCACGATATTAAATTATTAGTTATTTAAAAAAGCTATCTAAATAGTTTCTAAAACATTTAATTATAAAATCTTGACATAAGTGATAATACAGTATTAATAACCATTTTAAACACCTAATGTTTTGATTTTACAGAAAACAAAAAACAATTATTGGAAATACTATATATGAATATGCATTCTATCACAAAAAAGTCCTTTACAAAACCCCAAACCCTAATACAACTGGGCTAGAAGGACTATGTATTGCATTCTCTTTTAGGCTCACCGTTTCCTCTGGACTTAATTGCAATATTGTTGATATTACAGGAACTAACGGCTATATAAAAAATATATAATGTGAATTTGGTGCAACTAAAAATGTTCAAATAATGACGGTTGAATTAAATACCTCACGATCCATGGGATTAGTTTCAAAAAATTTAAGCACAACATTCTTTAAATATTCCACGTTTAAATTTTGCCGTTTTTCTAAACGATCTAATTTTCTGATTTCTTCCTTCAAAAACTAAATCAAGGATGCATTACAATTTCACATGAATATATTTGGATGTAAAAAATTGCAATATATCAAATATAAAAACAACCTTTTCTTGCTCAATTAATTTCTGTACTTGTGATTCACTTTCATTTAACATTTCAGCCATATGTTTTAACTTCATTACATAATCCTTTTCCTTATCGGATGATTCTAGCGCCGAGGTCGATATTCGTCCCTCCGTATCAGATAAAAGGTCTGATAATGAATCTAAAGATATATGTCGAAAATCCTGTAAATCAAAACTAAAAACCATAGATTTATGTTATTAAAATGATATTTACTATGAGTAGAATTCGCTCGACTTAATGTCTTTAGCGAAGGTGACGGCGATGAAGGTCGGCTATCGTCCTTTCGAATATTTGTACGTATAGCTAGTGGGGCTTTTGCAGCAGCAAGCTGTTTTTTAAGATCATCCACTTGTTCGGTACGTTGCGATAGTTCTTCCCGTAACTTTGTCAGCTCTTCACTAAGTTGCTGTGTAAATAGAAATCATAGTTATCAACATTTACATTAAAATATTAATTATATAATAGTATGAAATTATACAATAACACACTTCTGATATTGATTGCAATTGTTCATTTTCTTCTAGTTTTTGTTGAAGATTTTTCTTAATTGCATCTGTCGACTTTGAGAGCTTATCATCAAAATCCTTAATACTGGTTGCATAATTAGCATTAGCTTCACGCAAAGCTAAAATCACGATGAAAACATAGGCATTTGTCAAAATAAATTTAAAATGATAAAAAAAAGTATAATTACGTTACTGGTCAACAATAAAATAAAATAAACTAACCAACCTTCCTGCAAGGTAGTATTTTCCTTTGAAAGTTCCTGTAATTTTTCCTGTATACTTTTAACAGAATCCGCATTTTCGCGTGCTGTCTTTTGTGCTTTCTCAAGCTCTTTTTCAAGATGTGCATTCAGTTCGAGAGCATGTTTAAGATCATTTTTTACTGCTTTGATGCTATCATGTGCGTATTTTAGCTCGGTAGCTTTAAAGCTGTAATTATTATTATATGTAAGTGTTTGAACAAATTTCTAAATTTATATAAATTTGACACTAACCTTAGGTCTGATTCCAATTTTTTGTTTGCAGCAACTAACTCAGGTGTATTGGATCCAGAATTATCTGTATTATTGTTTTTTTGTTCGAGCAATGTATGTGCTCTTATCTTATATTGCTGAAATTCTGATTTAATTTGTGTTGTTTGTTGTGTTGCTTGTCGAAGTTTTGATTCCTATCATAAATTAAATTTTATCAACTATCAACCTTAACTGAAGATATATACGCACAAAAATCATTAACGTACCAGTCGCTCTATCTGCGCATTATACATAGCTGTCTGGCTATGCATTTCTGTTGTCAACCTTTCCATCGATTCTATTATAAAAATATCAAATATAAAGCTTTAAATATCTTAAAAAAATTAAAGAAGCAATTAAAAAATGTATATCAACTTCGGCTTTCATCTGCTGTTGATTTTGTCTTTTGATCATTCTCTTTTAAACTTTCTATATTTGCTTTCAACTCTTCAATCTCTGTATTTTTTGATGCCACATTTTGTCTTAATTCATTTATAGTTTTGTTTGCAGCATTAAATATTCCTGCAATATAAAATCGTAATGGACAATACTGGTGAGATATATATATTTATATATTATCATAGTGTATATAACGTACCTCTCATTTTCTTCTGTTTGTCTTCATATTCAACTTTTGACTTTTCTAACTCAGCTATAAAAATAATTTAGAAATTTTTGTGGTATATGGCCCTTTAATATATATATATATAGTTTATTTATATTTATTGATTTATTTATTTATTTATTTTAAATAATAATAATTTTATACCTGTACGTTTGTTCACCAACTCTTGGGCCCTGGAAAGCTCATTTTGTTTTTCATTTAATTGAATCTTTAGATCTTTAACCTATTTCAAAATGCTTTTATGTTATAAATAATATCAAAGTAAATCAAATTGAACATAAACTGAATAATACCTCTTCTTCCAATGTGAAATTCCGGCTCTCTAATTCGTCAAGTCTGCTACCTTTTGAACCACCTGTCGGACTCTTATAAAATGATGTTAAAATTATATCAGGAATATCTTTTCAATTTATAATTTCGTATATCATGATAATTCATACTTCAGTCCTCATTTTTGATCGCAAATTTTCTAACTTTTGTTCCAATCGAGAAGAATCGTCAACTTGTTTATCCATGCTGTTGTTTAATTAAAGTTAATAAACGATTTCTAAAGAAAAATTAATGTTAGATTACTTACAAAGTTATAAAAATTCCTTCAGAAATGAATAAATATTTTATGAGAATCGAATATTCCCGAACTTTTAATCGATTAGCTATGACTTTAAACAAAGAAGAACTTCATGTTTAAAAAACATCACTTACATACAATGTCACGTATAAAAGTCTCCTAAAAGGTTTATCAGGATTTCTAGTGTTTCAAATAAAAAAGTGTATGCAAGAATTAACTTTCGGTGTCATTATAAATTAAATGATTATCAGGTGATTCGTGCTGCATCACTTTATTTTCCATATTGATATCCGTGTTCTGTATGACAAAAAAAAATTTTTTTATCGGTTTTTTAAGATCTGTTTGTTCAATTTCTAACACTATCCTTTTTTTAACCCATTTATTTTGTTAATAAATGGCCCCAATCGCTTTTGATACGTCTTCTAACGATGCAAACTTGTTCCATTCCGGAGAACACATTAATCATGCGACTAAAGAAACAGTGAAATATTTTTTAAGCCAAGAGGAGAAGCCGCAGCACATTCAACAAAACCAAGAGCTGTGCCAAAATTCTCGCGAATCATTACAACCTGAAGAATTACTTAAAGTTCCAAAAAAAGACGAGGAGGAAGATAACGAGGCTGATAAAGAACGTGCAATGAATATCAACGATATGGAAGAAACTACCGACTCGCATAATTTAGAAGAAAAATTGTTAAAAGATAATGAAGAGTAAGTCTTTTTTTATAAATTTTGCTATTATTCTTCTTTTAATATTGATACCTTTTCGATACCCTATTTTAGTTATGAAATGGTCTCGAGAGCCGTTAATGTTTTAAAATTCCAATTGCAACAAGTAAAAGAAGACATTTCCAAATTGAAAACAATGAAGGAAAAGGCTTTAAAGGATCCAATTCAATTTGTCGAAGATTTGCGTAATGGGGTTAGTACCCGTCTGACTAATAAGTTTATTACCTTATAAAACGCGAGTAATTTATTTCTTTCATACTTGTTTTACAGACCAACGAAAAGGTTCCTAAAAGGCAATTCATATTTGGTGCACCAACAATTGATTGGAGCAAATATCATACCACCCCTTCAAAATACAAAGCGCGTATAGGTAACACTTCAAAATTGGAGTTATATTGTTGACCTTGATCAAATTTTACAGGATTAACTCTTTTTTAGATCAAGAAGTAATGAAATGTTCCAAGGTTAATTCCCATTCATTATTTGCTTAAATTTAATTTAATTACTAATCATTTTCTCTGTTAACTTTTATTTAATACACTATCAAAGGAGCGTGTGAACCCATCTTCAAGTGATAGGTCACGAGCTGGTCGAGAGTCCTCACCAGACATCGTTGAATTTGTTCACCAAAAAGCTCAAGAACTTGGTTTCAAAGTTCCCCCAAACGCGATAAAATCAACGCGTTCTAAAAAACAAAGAATTAATCAAAGTAGCGATGACGAAAGTACATTCACACTTCAGTCGGGAGCATATATAAATGCGCAAAGGTCAACGCCATTGAGCTCAAAAAGAAAACAAATGCCAGCACGGACTACGTTGACTAAAGCACAATGCTTAATTTCAAATTGCTCTACAAGGTTCGTTCCGTCATTATTTGTAAATTATCATATGTTTATGCATTCTTTTTTTTTGTTTATACAGTCAGACTTTTCTGAATGCACAACTATGAAACAATATGCATTTAAGGAGGCAAGAATCTATAGTTTTATACTAGCTGGGCCTAAGTGTTTGGGGTGTACAACGTCAGTCTAATTACAAATATAGTGCGTTTCATATAATGACGATCACTAATCGAGAGTACTACAGATCGACGTTATTTTATAGTAAAAACATATAAAGCTCAAGCTGTAATTACTCTTGAACCTGCAAACACACACAAATAAGATCGTATTTATCAGGTTCGTTATAATGTGCACTTTAATGTAACAACACCCTTTTTTAATTTTCTTTTTATTGTCTGAAGTGTGCAGGGATTAAAGTGATACCCAAAATTCTTGTTTTTGATGTATTTTTAATAAATATATCAAAAACGTAACTATTGCATATTGTGTCACAACATGCAGAAAATTAAAAAGTTATGTTTTTGATATTTTAATTAAAAATACATCAAAACCAAGAATTTTGATATCAGTTTAATCCCTGCGCACTTCAGACAATAAAAAAAAAATTTAAAAAAGGGTGTTGTTACATTAAAGAGCACATTATAACGAACATAATAAATATAATTTTATTTGTGTAGGTTCACAGATTTAAGAATAATTACAACTTGAGCTTTATATGTTTTTACTATTAAAATCTTGATTAGCGAGTATCATTATTTGACCTGCACTATATTTGTAATTAGACTGATGTTGTACACCCCACTAAGCAAGGTTGGCAATGGAGCCAATGGCTATGCGAATGGAGTTTAAAAATAACTATCCATTGGCTCCATTCAGAGTTTCATTGCCAACCCTACCACTAAGTGATGATGTGCATTTAGGGAGAACGTGCATTTAAGGGGTTGCATTTAGGGGTCTAACTGTATTTCCTAGAATAATACTGTTTCCATTAATTCATTTATTTCATTTATTGATAGGTCAGATACAATGGTCAAAAACACGAATTATTCAAGTAACCAGATCAATTCGATACATATCGATCAGAAGAATAATTCAGAAAAGGTAATTATTAAAACATGTCAAATTTTACCTGCACGTGATCAAATATTATCGTAAGTATACACGCGTCAGGGACAGTGAAAAATTCGATTTGATTTGGCAAAAATATATTCAAAAATATCGATTTATATCATTTACCAATATTGGCCAATCCGAATGCACGATTTGGCGTAACACAATATAACGTGATCAGTAATGTAACTTTCCGGCAAACATGTTTTTCTGTTTGTTGATTGTCTACGTTTCCAAAACTTGCCAACAGTTCAGGTTGGCCAAATTTGTGTTGTCTGGCCCAAATTATACACTTAATTTTGCTCGAAGTGGTATTGTTACACCGCATTAAAAATAGCAAAAATATCGATTTCCCTATGATTTGGCCTAAAATTATCGATTTACATATAATCAACATAAATCGATATTTTTCACTGTCCCTGGCACGCGTGTATATATAAGAAATTTAGTAAGCAGAATAGTGATTCATCGAAACATGTAACTTACAATGCGTCATTGTCAGATAATGTTTCATAAATCATGATTGGTACAAAATTTATCAGTTTACATAATAAATCTTGCACATTCAAAAAGCGTCAATTGGAACGCTTGCTTGCTAAATATCCAGAAGAGGAGTTCGGTCGCATAGATTCAAAAAGATTGCAAACTGATTGAAGGTTAGAACTCCAAAGCAGGTAAAATATTTTTGGAGCTATGACGAGTGCGATAGGTGTCAATGGCATTTTATTGCAAATCAATCATAATTGTATTTATTCATAAATATTCAGGTAACCAGCCGGGTACAAAAATATTTTGCAAATTGGCAAAATATGGATTACCTGTTCCTGGACGGATACCTAGTGCTCAGTAATTATTACATAAATAGAATTTATTGAAAATTAGATTATTTGTTAGCTGATATATAAATGAATTACTAAAAAAAAAAAAAAACAACAAATTCCCAGTTTGCGACATCGATATCTTTGTCAAAAAATACTTTAACAAAGAATAAAAAATCGGGCAGAACATCCAAGTCAGATTCGTCCAAGCTTCCTCCAGAAAAACGTCCTCGACGACCACGGTAAACTTTGATTATCTCATGAACAGAATAACAAATATTATTATTAACTTTTTGTAATTCTATACATTTGTAGTGTATCCGGAATAGCTTATATGGAAGCGCAGCCTCCGCCTACTTTATATATGCCTGATGATGATGATGAAACTGTCATTAAGGAAGTGATGTTGTTAATGGACAAGATAGGCAATGAACCCAAGGTTAGTTAGATTAATGAATTTATGTTTGTTTATATATTTTGAACTTCATAAATACATATATCTATATATTTATATGTCTAGTCGTACAATTACGCTGGTGGTGCCGTACATAATGGATATTGTGTAAGTATAAATACGTGATTCAATTTACTGATATACTTTATAATAAATGCCATCCTTTTTCTTAGTGTGATGGTTGTCATATGGATCCAATACTTGGTACTCGTTTTCTTTGTATGAATTGTGATGAAACTCGAGAAGTGGATCTTTGTGAAGATTGTATGATCGAAGGGAAATTTGAAAATGGTATGATTTTAATTGTTGCAGTAGAACACAAACCTTATTATGAATATTCATACTATATTTTTAAATTCATTTCCACTTCAATTTTTTTTCAGAACATCATAAAAAATCGCATCGGTTTTCGGCAATTGTTAATCCTACATCGCAACGTTTTAATGCGGATTATGTTCCTGAACAAGTTGATGAATATAGATATTTAGATGCTACACCCGCCGAACAATAGATATTAACGATCTAGATAAATTTTAGCGGCTATCACAGAATATTGAATATTTAATTATTTATTATCACCATTATTATGAAGTCTTGCTTAAGAGTATCTAAGCAATATATTTATAATAATTAATGTGTTTTTTTTAAAAAAAAAGTGCATCTAAATACTTAATAAAAGCAAACCACCAATCTTAACAATAATTATATTTGTTGGGTCATTGCGTATAATAATATAGCTAAAATCCCCGAATAACTTTTATGTTAATTTGCTGCATTTATCCAATGTTCTAAGCCAGTGTCTCAGAGTACTCATGAGTAAAGTTGGAATAATATTCGGCCTTCGGACTGAGTCCGATTTTCTTTGAATTCACTCGTAAAATTTTCATAATGATAAGAGTATGATAAACCTATTGTTTTTAGTTTCTCGAAGAAATTATAGCAGATCAGTATAGTATAGGTGAGCAGATTCGTATAGTACGGGCCAAAATTAAAAGGAAGTAGAGCTTACTATACTGATCAGCTATAATTCCTAACCCTAACACAGGGTTGGCACATTTATCCATTAGGTCCAATGGAGTAAACCTCCATTGACATTGGTCCATTGAGAATAATTGACAATGGAGCCAACAAGATACCATAAGTACTATAAATTACATAATATATATATCATATGTTATATATTTTAATTTATAAAATCATTGATAACTTTTGATCCACTGATCCGTTTTGGATGTTTTAACTATCAAAATGTTCGTCTCGATGATAGGATTCTGGCAAAGTCAAAATCGCTAAAATACAATCACAGAATCCCA